AAGGATAAAAATCATGTGATCATAACAATTGATGCAGAAAAACAATTTGACAACATCCAACATCCATTTATAATAAAAATTCTGAGCAAAGTGGATATAGATGGAATAAACCTCAACATAACACAGGCCATCTATGACAAACACACAGCTAAGATCATATTCAATGGCAAAAAGCTTGAAAGCTTTTTCTTTTAATCAGGGACAGACAAGTATATTCACTTTCATCTGTTTAATAAACATAGTATTAAAAGTCCTAGCTAAAGCAATCAGAGAGAAAAAAGAAAGTAAATAAAAGGCATCCAAACTGGAAAGTAAGAAGTAAAAATGTAATTATTTGCAGATAGCATACTACTATAAAACCCTAAAGACTCAACCAAAAGGATTAGAATAAATGGATTCAGTAGAGTAGCAAAATGCAAAATTCATATTCAGATAATAAGTTGTGTTTTTATACACACCAATAATGAACTATCAGAAGCAAAATTAAGAAAAAAATCCCATTTACAACTGCATGAAAAAGAATAAAATGCCTAGGAATAAATTTAACCACGGAGGTAAAATACCTGTACTCAGAAGATTATAACACATTGAGAAAAGAAAATGATGAAGATAGAAACAAATGGAAGTCTATACTATGCTCATGGATAGGAAGAATTCACATTGTTCAACTGTCTATAACACACAAAGCAATCTAAAGATACAGTGCAATCCCTAACAAAATACCAATGGCAGTGTTCACAGAAGTAGAACAAATAATCCTAAAATTTATATAGAACCACCAATGAACCAGAATAGCCAAAACAATCTTAGGAAAGAACAAAGTCTGAGGTATCATGCTACCTGATATCAATTTATACTACAAGGCTATAGTCAACAAAACAGCATGATAGGGCCATAAAAACACACACATAGATCAATGGAACAGAATAGAGAGCCCAGAAATAAACCCACACCTATATGGTCAATTAATCTACGACAGAGGAGGCAAGAATCTACGATGGGTAAAAACAGTCTCTTCAATAAATAGTTTGGAAAAACTGGATACATGCAAAAGAATGAAACTAGATCACTTTCTTATGCCATATACAAGAATAAATTGAAAAAGGAATAAAGACTTAAATGTAAGACTGAAACCATAAAACTCCTAGAAGAAAATATAGCAGTAAACTCCCTGACATTGCTCTTAGCAATATTTTTTTGGAAGTATCTCCCCAGGCAAGGGAAACAAAAGAAAAAATAAACAAATTGAACTACATCAAACAAACAAAAAATAGTGAAGGAAACCATCAACTAAATGAAAAGACAACCTACTGAGTGAGGGAAGATGTTCACCAATGATACATCCAAAAAGGGGTAATATCTAAAATATATAAAGAACACATATAACTTAAGACCAAAAAACCCCCAAAGAATCCAATTTAAAAATTGGCAGAGGACCTGAATAGACATTTCTCCCAAGAGGACACAGAGATGGCCAACAGACATATGAAAAGATATTCAACATCACTACTCATCAGGGAAATTCAAATCAAGGCCACAGCAGTGTTGAAGAGAATGTGAAGAAAAGAGTACTCTTGTGCACTGTTGGTGGTATTGTAAATTGATGTAGCACTCTGGAAAACAGTATGGAGGTCCTCAAAAAATTAAAAGTAGAACTACCTTCTGACAAGCAATTCCACTTCTGGGTATTTATCTGAAGAAAACCCAAACATCAGTTTGAAAAGATATATGCACCTCCATGTTCATTGCAGCATTATTTACAACATTCCAGATACGGATGTAACGTAAGTGCCCACCAATAGACAGTTGGATAAAGAAGATGTGGTACATGTATACAATGGAATATTACTCGGCCATAAAAAAGAATGGAATCTTACCATTTGTGACAGTATAGATGGACCTGGAGGCTGCTATGCTAAGTGAAATAAGTCAGAGAAAGCCAAATACCATATGATTTCACTTAATTGTGGAATCAAAGGAACAAAACAAACAAACAGAGACTCATCAAGAACAGACTGATGGTTGCTGGAGGGGAGGGGGTTTTGGGACTGGGTAAAATAGGTGAAGGGATTAAAAAGTGCAAAGTGATAATTACCAAATAGTCATGGGGATTTAAGGTACAGCATAGGGAATTAGTCACTAATATTGTACTTACTATATATGGTGTGAGAGTGGTACTAGACTCAACGGGGCGATCACTTCGTAAGTTATGTTAATATCTAATCACTATATTTTCCACCTGAAACTAATATAATATTGTATGTCAACTGTAATTGTAAAATAAATATTTTTAAAAGAGTTCAATAAATGTAGGAGAGAGAGGCAGAGAACAAGGGAGGAGAGAGAGAGAAGGGGCGGATCTCTAAGGCATCTAAGAACTCTGAGGTTCAGTGGGTAAATGCACCACTGTAGTCTGTGATAATGGGCAGGTTATTTCCCTCCATGGGCCTCAAATTCCTATCTTGCTGGGGTGGTACTGATAGATTTCAAGACCTTAATGACTTTGAATTTTCTTATTAAGGGTGATTATTGCATCAGCTTCATCTTTATTTATTTATCCTTTCTGCTTCAGGCAATGTACTATGAGCAGCATAAAACCACTGAAGAAGACACAGTCCTCATTGCAGACTTTAAAATCCTAAAGGGAGAGGCAGTCAAGGAGCCGATGTAGTAACTGCCCTGTGATAACCACTGAGATGCCCCGGACTTGCTCTCAGGGAGGGTTCCTGTAGGGGCTGACACTCATGGGATAAGAGAGAGCCTGAGGCTGGTGAACCACAGGGATGGGTATTTCAGGCAGAGCCAACAGCATGGAGGCTTTGGAAAGAAAGTTTAAGGAGGGTGGCCGAGTGGGGGAAGAAACGGAAAGGAAAATGAGAAAGAGGGGAATTGCATGCTGGCTCTCCTCTCCCTCTGGCCTTCTCAAAGCCCCACCTTCCTGGTCGGTGCCTCTCCAACCTTAGGCCGTGGACCACCTACAATAAAGATGGTGGGGTGGAAGAGTGACTCAGAAAAACGCAGATCCCTGGACCCCAAGAGTGACCTACTGAATCAGAATCTCTAGACAATATGGCCCCAAAACATTTTAAAAACCTCCTAAAGGGATTCTCTTAAGATCACTGTTGTGAGGCCCTGGCCAAGTAGCTCAGTTGGTTAGAGCATCCTCCCAATATGCCAAGGTTGAGGGTTCAATCCCCGGTCAGGGCACATACCAGAAGCAACCGATGAATGCATAAATAAGTGAAACAACAAATCAATGTTTCTCTCACTCCCTCTTTCTCTCTCTAAAACCAAAAAACAAAAAAATTAAAAAAGAAAATCATTGTTGTAACTACTTGTTTCCCAATGAACCAGGACATTGAAATGGAATGTAGAATGCTTCTTTAATTTCTATTTTAGTATTTAAAATATGGAAGTCAATAATATTGAAAATGCTAAATGCAGGCTTTCGACTGCAAGGGAACTTAGGTTTTGTTTCTGAAGGGAGCTTCCTCCCCATACCTGGTGCCATCTTTCTCTCTCAGTCCATGTCCCTCCACTATCCTGTCTGTAGTTAGTCCTCACTGTGCTTTTCCCTCCTTCCTCGGGCTCCACGCTCCCCACCAACAGCAGAGGATCACCCTTGTTTTGGTCATTCCACCCTGTTCTCCACATGCTCTCTTCTCAGCTGGCTGCCCCTGGCTCCTTCTCCGGGTTTATGAGCTTCCTTTCTCTTCACTCTTTTCCATCTTGACTTAGGGCTGTTACACTGCTCGGGCCTTGCTTCCCCTGAATTTTCTCCCTAGTTTAGTGAGAATTTCTCCTGAGCCCACTGCGATTTTGTCAGAGGAGACGTTTTTACTTGTCGATTCCTTTTTTCTGGGCACCTTATAATTTAAATAAGCTCCTGAAAAATGCCATTAAGATTAATCATGTTCATGCATATTGAAGAGGGAAACATAACAGCACAACGGGCAGTTCTTTCTGTGCAATTGGCAAATAAAACACTTGGAGCATTGGTCCAAAACGGCTGTCACAAACAGCAGCAGAAATATCACCTATGTGCATAATGAAGGCCAAAGTTTCTTTGCCTGTAAATTCAGGAAATTTGTTATCCACTAAAAAAAATAACTGAACAAAATCCATAAATGCCCTTCATTTTATCATCGTAATAGTGATTTTCATTTCTGACATGCAACAGCATGAACTCAAATATGTTATTCATGAAAATTAGGGTTGTTTCTCTAAAAATTCTACTCAATTCTATGGGTTATAATGAGTTTGTATTTGTCAAATGGTTTTTATGCTTAAAAGAAAAGGTAATGACAAACAACCATTGGAATTGCTAGGTGCACTACCCCTGTGCTAGGTTTCGTGACATGCCTCTTTGGCAAATCAGGGCCCCTGGAGAAATCAGTGTGGATATGAAAACCAGCACATTATTCCACTGTTCACATGCACTGCGGGGATGAAAGAGGTGTGTGGGCCTATTGATGTGTTTATTTTCCTTCTTGGAATGCTTAACTTATGAAAAAGAGTAGGCAGGGTGTTCTAAATCCAAAGTTTGATCAGGGAGTTTTTGAACTTCACAATGCATGCAAGTTTACGAGAAGTGCTACACTGTTAACTCAGTTCATATAAGATGTTGTTATGCCTGGCCTTCATTTTACTAATGGGGAAACTGAGGCTCACAGATGCAGATACTAAAAAAACAAACAACAAAAAAGAATTTCTTCGTCAATTAAAGAAGGCATGGTGGATCTCAAGAAACCACTAGGGCCTCAAGAACTTGGCAACACATCTCCTTGGCAAAATAGGTACTATTATAATCCCCTTCTCACAGAGAAAAGATTTAAGGCTGTGAAATCACTAGCCCAAGGTCATGGAACTTTTAAATCACAAAGTCAAGACTTGAACTGGTTTGTCTGATATCTCTCTCTGTGCTTCAATCTGATACCAGACAGTACAGAATGCTTCTGATAATGTTGCCTGCAGGCAGGCCACCACTGCAATTTTGACCAAGAAAAAGCATAGAATAGCTGTTTACTCACCTTTAGCCGATGTTTCCACATGTCACAGCTGACCTCGACCCCTGGTGGAAGATGGGTTTTGCACCAGAGTGTCAAGGACCTCTGGAAGCAGCATTTAGTCATACCTGCATCTACAATTTATCAGATTTTTATTCTACACTTAGGAACTCAATGGAGGAAAGCAGAGAACCTTGTCTCTTGATTTATCAAGAAACTTCTTGAGAGTTTATCTCTTTGTGGTTTAGTTTGTTTGCTTTTTTAGTTCTCAAACTAAAAAAACATTGGAGAAGATTATTTAAAACAATAGTGTGGTGAAGGCCTGGGGTGGCGTGGAAGCTGGGTGGAGGGAGGTAATAGGGGGAAAATGGGGGACATCTGTAATACTCTCAACAATAAAGATAAGTAAAAAAAATGAACGGTAAGACAAAAACCTTCATATTATATAAACAACAACAAAATAATAAAATAAAATGCAGATCATAGACCCAGTCCTAAGTGACTCTGAGTCATTAGGTCTAGAGCGGAGTCTAGGAATCTGCACTTTTGAAGCTCTAAAATGGTCAAAGCAATCTTGAGAAAGAAAAACAAGTTGGAGGTGTCATGTTCCTTAGTTTCAAACTAAACTACAAGCTATAGTTATCAAAACAGTATGGTACTAGTATAAAAACAGACACATAAATCAATGGAACAGAATAGATAACCCAGAAATATACTCATTTCCAGATTTCTCCTGTGCTATCAAGATAAGTTACAAAGTACCCAGGGCCTTCCAACCCCCACCTCAGAGTGGCTCTAGTGTTTCACATTAGCTACTGAACAGATATCATTAGGAACCTATTAGAGGAAGAAAAACATTAGTTAAGCCCCTATGAGGCACAAGATCTTTACATATAACATCTCATCGAATACTTACTACCATCCTACGAAGTGGGTACCTTCCCAGGCCACAGGTTTGTAAGGGGTAGAGGTGGCTTTAGAATCCAATCCAGTTTGATTGAAACCCAGTTCTTGTCTCAGTAAAGCACAGTGCAGAACTCTGTGGTGGAATCCCTGACCTCTAAGGGTTTCCTGTTTGGAAAAAGCAGAAAATAGAAAAAATTCTTAGAAGCACATGGGTGTCCTTCTGTTCTGTCTCCCCAACCCATTGGTTGCAGAGAAGGCAGAATGAAACAATGGGGGGTGAAGACAGTGAGGAATTGGTGACACAACACTTGGGCCCCAAAGCTGAGGACCAGGTGGTCTTCCAACTGAAATGGGAAAATTCATACAATGCTACCCAGCCCAGAAAGTCCCCAGTTATGTACCAGTAGACAGTGAACCAATCAAAGACTACCAAATCTACTTGAATGGCAATCGGAAAGCCTCGCCCCACTCCACTTCCCAAAATCATGCCCTGATAGAAAAATCTCATCCTATAACACTCAACCAAATAACGTATTAAGAGTCTCTCCTCTCCCTTTATAAAATACACTCTTCTCTCAAATCCCTTCTGGTCTCTGCTGGAAGGCCGACTCCCTTCCCATAGTACCATCTGAGTATACAGCCTTTGGTTAGTTCTACAGGTGATCTGCTTCTTCCTGACATGCTCAAAGTTCTCACCAAGTTTAAACACTCAGTCTACAAACATTAATAAGAATCTGTGCTCCGTCTCGCTAGATGGCAGCTCCAGTAGAATGCTGGACGATGGGAACTCAGATCCTCTCATGTCAAGGGCAGGGTGTGGAGTAGAGTGGTTAGACTCTAGCTTGGGGTCTGCCCCCAAGCTGTGTGACCCGGGGCAAGTTACATAATCTCCCCGTGACCCAGTTCTCTCTGGGACAAACGGAAGTAACAGTAGGACCTACTTGAAGGGTTCCTGTGAGGATCAGAATGACCCATACGAGGAGGCAGCAGCAGGCTGTGCAGGCGACAGGAAAGAGCATAGGTCTGGCACGGAATAAAAAGGAACCCAGGAGTCCATGCTGATGCAAGTGCATACAAGAACAAACAAACGTGGGAGAAGCGAAAGCTCTGCTCAGAGTAGAACGCAAACTAAAAAATGTAGAAAAGGTTCTAATTAGATAATCACCATTTTTCAACCATCACAGTGATAACAGATTCAAGCAATAATCACTAACAGATGCTACACCTAGCAGATAAAATTGTGACGAGGAATGGGCTATAAATCTATGTATCTCTCTCAAGAATAGGAAATGGCAAAATGTACATCGTGAATCTGGGTAAAGGATATTTGGGCATTTTGGGGTAATATTCTTGTAACTTTTCTGTATATTTGATTTGTCGAAATTAAACATAAAAAAAAGGAGGGAGAGAAGGAAGGAAACTAGCAGCAACGGCTGTCTGATTCTGTTACATTGTACTTTCCCCTCGGTACAAGCTCCAGAAGGGCGCCCTGGCGCGCGGGGCTGGTTTGGGTTCAATACCCGGTGGGCAGGCCCTGGGCTGCTGGCTCCATCCCCGCTCAGGGCACTTAGGGGAGGCAGCCTTTTGCCGTTATCGCCCTCAATTCATGTTTTTTTTGTTGTTGTTGTTTTTTCTCTCTCCCTTCCTCCTCAGAACAAAACAAAACAAAAAGTAGTGCTTAATGCGGCGGGAGGAGAGAGAGCCCGGCCTCCAACCCGTTTCCACTGGTTATCAGATCTGTGACCAGGAACCAGTTCTTGACCTCAATCTGCCTATTTGTCTCTTCTATTAAGTGTGGATTTTACACTTGTACCGACTGGAAAGGTGGCTGCGTTGACGAAACAGGTCGCACGTGTAAAGTGCCTGGCGGGCTGCAAGCAGGTTTGCAGTCGCTTCCATCACACGCCGGGTCAGCAGAGGGGGGCCGGGCGCCCGCGCCTGCGGTGGGGGCGACCACGGCTGCGGCCTCCG